AGAGGATAACGATATATAAATTTTTATATATCAAGAATGATTTTGAGGGAAAGAAGTATGACAACGCGGAAAAAGTTTTTTTTGTGAGTCTCGTTTTATTCTTTAGTCTGATGAAGTTTGTCATACATATTTCCCCAATAATATATATATATATATATATATATATATATGTGTGTGTGTGTGTGTGTGTGTGATTTATATATATATCTATTATTTATATATTATATATGTGCGGTACTTATTGGAAAGCGCTCAATATCGGTGATAGATTTAACATACTTAGTTGTATAGATGTGAGTTTGTAACCCCGGGTTTGACGCTTCTGCGATCCTCAGGCAAACTCTTGTTTGAGGATCGCAAAATCGTGAAACGTAACTTATAAACTCACATCCCTTATATATATATATATATATATATATATATATATATATATATATATATATATATATATGTATGTGTGTGTGTGTGTGTGTGTGTGTGTGTGTGTGTGTGTGTGTTTGGGCAGCAATCCCTCTTTTATACAAATTTCGTTGAAGACGGTTGAGAAGGTACTGGGATTGAGCTTTTTATTTGATTTTTCTTGTGTTTTTATATGCGTTTTCTGGACATAAAGTGTAAAAATTGTCCAAATGTTCTAAATATCCGAGCGCTTTCAACTATTCTATTAGCCATTATCAAAATTTTTTTAGATATATATTTTTAGAGTGATGGGAATGTGTTTTTATTTTCAAGAAACGGTCACAATGTCCTGATTGAGTTTGAAAAAAAAAAACAAAACCCAAACACTCCAATCCATCGAGAAACATTCTTTTTCTTGTATTAATCTTATTTACAAGTCAACATACATAAATTGAATAAGTTATAACGATTCAAAGAGCGCATACATTATTTTGGGACGCCCTATATATATATATATATATAGGTAACTACACTCGTCTCGGAAAACCTTCGGTTTCTTGATTTGCTAATGGTCAAATCAATCTCGAAAGTAAAAAAGGTTTTTAAAAAAATTAAAAAAAAGAAAGAGCTATGAATATGAACATCTGTCGACAATAATCGTACAGTATACAGGCCCAAAGCCCAAAGTAAATAAACCCTGATACAAGTAATCAACTAACTAAAAAAGTGCTCAATACAAAAGTAGAGCAGACCTAGTCAAACCTAGAGAGCCAGACAAACCTACCAAGGTTTCATCTAAGCTTTCCTGACGATCCGCTTAGGTGAAACCTTGGTAGGTTTGTCTGGCCCCTAGATTTGATATATATATATATATATATATATATATATATATATATATATATATATATATATATATATATGTATGTGTGTGTGTGTGTGTGTGTACTAGCTTAGAAGCCGCCTTATCCGGTAGCAGTTAAGCTACCTCCTGCGGAGAGCTATTGATTGGACCTTTGGCATGATCAGGAATTTGAGAGTCCCTAAGTCTTTGCATATTCTCAGCATTTGAAACTCTCCCGGATGCCGTTTGATCTGGGTTTTCATTTGCATGTGACTTTCTTTTTGCGAGCCGTACTGCTGCCGTAAGCGATAGGCAAAAAATAAACTACAGAAAAACTCAAAATTGATCGCAGCAATTCAAAATTGATTGCATTAATATTTCAGCTTACCTTTTAAAAGTTCAACGATAATTCTTCTGCCGCCACTTAATTTGAAGACAATTTGGTGTGCGTAGGTCCTTACTTTCCGTAAAAACAATTATTTTTATTTCATGGGTGACTTTCACTGAATATCACAATTAATTTCGATTATTCTCAATTTTATTTTCAATTTATAAAAATTGTTATCGCACAAAAAAATTTCGTAAAAAAATCACATAAAAAATCGCCGAAATGAAAATTTGAGAATATATATATATATATATATATATATATATATATATATATATATATATATATATATATATATTCCAAAGTAGCATAAACAGTAAAATATTTATTAAAACTGAACGTATTAAAAGTGCCCAATACAAAGTCGGAAAACCAGACACGTTGAGCGTTTAATATTTAAAAAATATGAAAGCTGACCAGAGCACAATACAGCGGTTTCGACCTCTACGGTCTCCTCATGTGGTTTGTTCAGCAAATCAACTACCGGATCTCAACAACTTAAACCCTTTCGAAACCGGAAGTAGTGGGTATATATATATATATATATATATATATATATATATATATATATATATACACTTAAAAAATATATACTTTTTAAGTTAAAAGCCCTACATGTTATTTTTTATTTTTACTTATTTTTTTCTCACGTGTATTGAGCACTTTTTCATACTACTGTTTTCTGCTCTGATTAAACTCTGACCATTAACACACACACACATACATATATATATATATATATATATATATATATATATATATATATATATATAATCTACCCATTTGGTAAAAATGAATAAAAAACATCCTTAATAATTATAACAGAATCGGCGAAAGCGCCTACTCAACCAAGTGTATCAATATTATAGCCAATAGCGATTTTATTGGACAAATTTACTCACTAGTATTTCAAGATATTTTTGTTTAATTTTAGTAAATATATCTGTTAAAAGTGTTATTTTCATTTTTGCGTCATTTAGACGGCAATTTTATCCATCTCACCTTGTCGATATATATATCAACAAGGAGGATTTGATAAATTCTCCGCCTAACGCACTTCATTCAAATATTGTACGAATCGACAAGTCCGGGGTATCTAGTGAAGATAATTCTCACTGCAATCATGAATATTTGCTCGTCTAACTTCCAAGGCCTGGCTGCCATATATATACATATCTAAAGCAAAATACATGCAAGTAGATGTGTGCGCACGCCCGGAAATATTTGTGAAAGCCTAACTTCAGAAACTTACGTCTTTTTATTCATCTTTGGAGACACAGTCGAGTAATGGATAGCGGCTCGGATCTAAGAATCTTAGAGCCGAGTTCGAATTCCAGTCGAATCCATTACATTCACTTACGTGCTAATACCATTGGAAAATGTAAGGATCTTCTTCTCTCCCCACCTCCTCCGCCAGCCATGGACAAATAGCAGGACAGACTGGGTTTTATAGCCTTGGGTGGCAACTGGTCTAGGAGAAGGACAACTGTGAATTCAAAACCTGATCCTCCAGGTTGGAGTTATACAGTAGGCTAACAACCTACTCACTTAAAAACGGGGTTGTTATAGAAATCGCAACGATATCTTGCGGTCTTATGTTACTCAAGGAATTTAAAGGCATTATATATATATATATATACACACACACACACATATATATATATATATTCATTTCTTAGGTCGTTTTATATATCGGCTCATCGAAATATTCCTTAAATATATGCTGTGTACCTTCAGGACGTTGGGAATAATTGCTCTCTTTGTAGCTCTTAATAACTTTTGTCTTTTTGCCATCCGGAAGCAAGATCTCTAATCGGGAGGTTTTGAGGAGCGTGCAATCACCTTTTAATTGCTGTCGTTTCCAGGTCCACTCAGACTCAGGGTGGTAGCACCTGTTAGGGTCCCAGATATGGGCAAATAGTGAACACCCAAACTGGACGCAAAACACTATGAAAGTATAAAAATATATTCTTATATTAAAAAGTTCCAAAAAGTCCCAGTAATAGATTTTGACAGTAAAAAATTCCAGCAATAGATTTGAATAGTATAAAAAAATTATCCTACCCAAGGAAATAAAACTTCGGCATTAAATGACCCCTAAGGTGTTGATATGCCGTTAAACAAACAAACAAAAATTCCATTCGTTCGCCAAGTATGTCTGGTGCTTCTGCTAGTCATCTCGAGGCTCTAGACAAAATCCAAAGAAGGATCTGCAATATAATCGATCCTGACCTGACATCTCGGCTTTAGTCATTTTCTCATCAACGCGGCGTGGCTTCTCTCTGTCTTTTTTACAAATATTTTCATGGCAAACTGCTCTGACAAGCTTTTCCGCTTGGTGCACCAACTATATGAATTTAAGTGTGGTACTAGATTGGCATCTAGGTCCCACCCTTTTACTGTTGAAATAGTTGAATGCAACCGCCACTTCTACTTCAACTGTTGATTTTCTCGCACTTCCCACCTGTGGAGCTCCCTTCTGTTTACTTGCTTCCCTGAAAACTACAATCTTCAAAAATTGAAATGCAATGCCAGTCGCCATCTTCTGTCTTCTTGAATCCCGTTCATCCTTTTTCCTTTCTTCAATCCTTCTTATAGTCAGTATTTTCTCTCACTCTCACACGCTGTAACCCACATCCGCGTACTAGTGGCATTCCCGTCTTACCTGGGGGTGAAATGATTAAAAAAAAAAAAAAGTAATGAGCGTAGCTCTCCTCTGACGCTCTTACCTTCAACCTGTCTTGTGTGTATCAAATTTTCCAAGCCCTCTTTCCGCGTTATGTGCTCTGGAAACTTCAAATGTCTCTTCATCTGTCTTTTTTGCCGCCATTATCTCGACAACTTCGTCATTGCCCACATGTTCGGTCTATCCCCCCTCCCCTTTAGACGATGTAAAAATGCATAAGATTTAACGTAGTGCTGATATCTGCATAAATTAAACTTAATTAAATCGTTTTTTTTTTTTTAAATATTAATGAATGTCTTCATTGAAAAAAGGGTAACAGGTGTTTTATATAAATAGATGAATTAAAAATCCTTTATTTTCTTTTTAAGTTTTATTTTCCATAATTATTTGGCGTTGTATCGCGCAAGATTTAATACTGCCAAATTTCCAGGATTGGCCCGTTGTGTCACAGCGGCTGAGAGGTATAAGGTTACTTTTTTCAGACCGCGATGACAAAGTTCACTACCACGCACTCTGTGGCTGAGGATAAGATGAGATTATTTATGTAAGTTAAACAAAGCCAAGGAGCTATTTACGTGGCTGGTATTAAGTTCTCACTGATGCATTGGTAATTGCTTCCCTGTCTGTTTGTTTTAAACTTATAAAAATCCAAATTGTCCCACGAGTCTTATAGAATAATTACATGAATGTTTAATGAAGAATCTTTGTTTATTAATTCTCTTCTCCTAATCTATCTATCTATCTATCTATCTATCTATCTATCTATCTATCTATCTATCTTAGTCTTCTTTCTTTCTTTCTTTCTTTCTTTCTTTCTTAGTCTTCTTTCTTTCTTTTCTTTCTTTCTTTCTTTCTTTCTTTCTTTCTTTCTTTCTTTCTTAGTTTGTCCCTATCTATCTATCTATCTATCTATCTATCTATCTATCTATCTATCTATCTTAGTCTTCTTTCTTTCTTTCTTTTCTTTCTTTCTTTCTTTCTTTCTTTCTTAGTTTGTCCCTATCTATCTATCTATCTATCTATCTATCTATCTATCTATCTATCTATCTATCTTAGTCTTCTTTCTTTCTTTCTTTCTTTCTTAGTTTGTCCCTATCTATCTATCTATCTATCTATCTATCTATCTATCTATCTATCTATCTCGGTCTGTTCTATACATTCTTTTTATAGATAAACATAAAAATGTCTTAAAATAATTGTCGGACTTTGTCCATTTCATAATGTGTGACGTCATTTCATTATATTTGGATACGCTTTGAGCAGATATGAATGTAAGTGAGAGATTCATGGAAGATTGAAGTTTAAAGACAGTAAAGCCGACCTTGCTAACCGAACGCTCCTCTGTAGCCAAATCGGTTAAGGCACGTCAAACTAAATGACGGTTCCGTATAGGCTACAGGTTCGAATCCCGTCGGAGGACGGATATTTCTTATGAAAATTTCTCGGACATTCAAGCGGGTAAATGTTGTTTAATACTGTTTATTATAAACAGAGCATTTACTTAAATATTTGTATCTATAAAAAGAATGTCCATATCATTATATATATATATATATATATATATATATATATATATATTGATGCATGTTTCATTAAATAAAAAAAGACAAGTTTCGTCTATTTATTTTATGTAAATTCTTTTCATATCATCTGATGAGCTTAATAGCATTCTCATTAAAAGAAGAAAGAAAATCACAATATTGATACATATTTTTTAATCCTATCTAAGCTTTCGGCTTACATAAGTCATTATCAAAGATGACAGTTACATTACAATATATTAAGCAATACATCCACAAAACAATAATGATAGTCTGTTTTTGTTTACATGGAAAATTTCCAAGCAACGACAAACTCGTGCATATGAGACACTGGAAACGAAAATCGCACCGCAGCTCATGACGTCACACATGACCACGCGAGAGTGAAAACGAGAAGTATTAAGTATGGGAAGCCGTTGGTATAAACCAATGGCTTCTATTATCAATTATAGGCATTTAAGAATATTTGTGGAGATTTCAGAGTTTATTTTGTTTAGGTTAGGTTATGTATGTTCTGTATCGAGATTTTTTTTTATAAAAACAAAAATACTAAAGAACTTCGGATTATCAATCTAACAGTTCTTTCCTATTATATCAATAATCAATACGCACCTTGAGGCGGTGTAATTGTTAGCAAGTTTGTCTCGCTAGAACAATTACGGCTAAGTAGTGAGTTCGATCCTCGTTGGGTGCACCTTACTTTCGGCCTTGTGCCACATCTAAGCTACTCTTGGAAATCTTGTCGCATGTTACGTATTCTATTTAAACATACTGTCGCACATTCACGCACACCGTGTACAGGACTCGTCCTTTCAAGACGCGGCTGACAAGGCTCTCCACAACTTCTTGTCTTTCTTTGCTCTAAGTAACTTTCGACTCTTTACCATTCCTTTCGTTCTTGTTCTGTTATGCATTCACTTATTGTTCTTTTATGTGCCGAGTCCCTTCGAGATGTGGGCAAACATGGTTCTCCACAACTTCCTCTCTTTTGTTGTTGTTACTATCTTTTTGACTCTTTACAATATCTCTTTGTCTTTGTTCGTTTATCTCTTCATTTCTTTGTTATGCACCGTTTCTCTTCGAGACGTGAGCGATTATGGCTCTCTACGACTTCCTGTCTTTTGTTGCTCTATGTAACTTTCGACTCTTTACCATAATTTTTTTTCCTTCTTCTCTTATGCATTCACTTATTGTTCTTTTATATGTCGAGTCCTTTCAAGACGTGGGCGATCATGGTCCTCCACAACTTCCTGTCTTTTGTTGTTGTTACTAACTTTTTGACTCTTTAAAATATCTCTTTGTCCTTCTTCGGTTAGTTCTTCATTTCTTGTTTTTTATGCGCTGTTTCTTTTCGAGTCGTGGGAGATAATAGCTCTCCACGACGTCCTGTCTTTTGTTGCACTAAGTAACTTTTGGCATTTTACCACTACTTTTTGTTCTTGTTATGCGATCCACTCACAGACTACTAGTAGCTTACTCGCTGTTTCCCCTGCTTCTCTTGCCTTCAATATGTCCTCTGAGTATTATATTTGCTAAGCTATCTTTTCTCATTATGTGTCCAAGAATTTGCAACTGATTTTTTCTGTAAGTATGTTTCTTTGTTTTTTTTTTTTTTCTTTAAAACTTTCTCGTTATTCACAAAGTCTTCTTACCATTCGTCGGTAAAACCACATCACCCTAGCGTCAAGTCTCTTCGTCGGCTGTGTGGAGATTGTTCGGCACTCACTGCCATATAGAAGACTAAATATTACATAGCTGTTCAACACTCTTTACTTGGTGTCTAACGGTATTTTCCCATTTCTTAATACTTTGCTTAGCTTTAGAAAAGTATCTTTCGCTATCCAAGCGCGACTTCGGATTTCGGTGACGCATTTTCCACCCTCTGTTAAAACAATCCCTGGATATTTAAATTTTAATCCCGTCCTTAATACAGGGGCCGAACCCGTGTCCCTGGCGATTTTTATGCTAATGTTTAACTATAGATGGGTAGAGCCCGGGATTGCGAGTTCCTTGCACTTGGATTGATGGATCAATACCAATCTCAGACAGACATAGGATGGCTAGTTGGTTGGTTTTGTTTAGCGGCATATCAACACCTCTATGGGTTATTTAATGCCAAAATCTAAATAATTTGAACACAATTGCCATATCACGTTGAAACACCAGTCCGTGTATGATTACCGAAGTTAAGCAACGTCGAGACTGGTTAGTACCTAGATGGGTGACTGCTTGGGACTACGATGCTATAAGCTTGGATGTGCAGGCGGTGTAATAATGGTACGGAGTTGTTAATCGGAGAGTCGAGTTCCGATTCCCGTTGGGTTCGTTATATTCACTTACGCGCAAATACCCTTGAGAAAGGAATGAATACACAACTTCTCTCCCCTGCTATGGGTTAATTAGTAAGATTTGTGTCACTAAATCATTATTATCCCCTCCCCTCCCAATTTTTTAAAATCTAAAATTATCTGGTTTTAAAATAACCTGCAAAGAGTTGATAAGCCGTAAAAACAATTATTATTAGTGGAAAAAAAATTTAGTAAAGGAAAGCGCGAAGAATGGACTGTCAACTATAAGACGACATAATGTATGGTCATTAGCAAGAGGGTATAGTCCATGATATGAGAGGCACAAAACGCCAGAATAGAGCAATCAGAAATGAATTATCAGGTAAGTATTATAACAGACTACGGGAAAAAAACAATTAGGGGGACATTTTTACATTTACGGCTCGGCTTTATTTACTTTCCCACCGCCGTAAAGTTGCCTCTCTGTGTCTTTTCTATAAATGTTTTCATGGTAATTCTTCAGGTGAGCTCTTCTTCATGAATTTAAGCGCAGTACTAGACTGGCTGTAAGGTCTCATCAATTTACAGTTGGAATGGCTATATGTAGCCGTAAGTTCTATGCTAACAGTTTCTTTTTTTCACACTTCTCCCTTCCGGCTCTATGCTTTCCAACCAACTTTAATCTGCAAAAATTTAAATGCAATGTCAATCGCTATCTACTGTCTTTCTGATTACTCTCTTCACTTACTGCTCATCATTATTGTTTCTGTTCCTAATTCTTCCACACCCTGTAACCCCTTGTGTCTTAGTGGCTTTATTGTCTTACTTGGGGTGATACCGATAAAAAAAAGAGACAACGGAAAAATGTGATACAGAAATCTGAAGGTTTATGGGAATAGTTTTGGATTGATTGGTTTCTTTTTTATGGATTATCAACCTTTTTGCTGGTTATTTAAAGCCAGAAAATACTTTTAGATTATAAGAATCTTTTGGCGATAATAATGATTTTTACACATAGAAGTTCTACTATTTAGCGCATAGCTGGGGGGGGGGTGAAGAAGTGGTTTCATACCTTTTCCAAGCGTATTTACGCGTAAGTGAATACAATGAACCCGACTGGAATTGGAACGCAGTTCACCGATTTCCAATTCCAGTTGGGTTCATTGCACCACCCTCATATCCATGCTTACAGCACCTGGCATTCCCAAGCAGTCAGCCTATTGGAATAGTGAAAAATGTCTTCCAAAATCCAAAAAAAGTATTATGAGATTTGGAAAAACTTGTTAGAAATAAAAGAAGTGATTTTTTTTTTTTTTTTACAGTGAGGGTCACTCTTTACAAGGCCCGAGGGCCGTTGAGGTAGAGCGTTACGTTAGGAGGTCATTTGTGTGCATAGGTGAGGGAGATAACGATTAACCCTAGCCTTGAATAGGTTAAGATTGTAGAGATAGTGCAAACAACGTGCTAGGAGTCGATTCAACAGGGCAGTGATTCGTGGGAAGAAGCTGTTCAACTGGAACTTATATCTCATCGATGGAATACGGAGAGAACGTGGGTGGTTTGCTGCTATGTGAGTGGCATGGCGTGTTCTTGTCGTGAAAGTTTGAATTGGCGGGACCAGGGCACTTTCCATGGAAGTAGCGGCAGAGCAGCGAGAGGCTTGCTACATTCCGCCTGTGGGTGAGATGTTGAAGGGTGGAGAATAATTCGTCGCCCACAAGGGCTCGAGGACGCTTTTGACTATTAAAGCCGTAAAGTGAGGTCTTTGCAGCTCCCGTCCAGATATGACAACAGTACTCCATTTTGGACCTGATCTGCCGCTTGAGGATAGTATGAGGAGACAGGTTCTTACTGCTGCAGAAATCGGCTATCGGCCATTTTATCTGCATCCTTAGCAACGGATTGTATGTACGAGTTCCACTTGAGGTCGAGTGTGAGTTTGGGGCCTAACAGTCTGTTGTGGTAGGATCCACCTAATTTGCATAGTGGAGTACCGACCATATAAATATGGTTGATACCGGGAAGACGGGGAAAGGAATCAAGAGATTCAATCCAGAGACTCTGCTCGACGGCGACTAAGTCAATACATTCTCCAGGAACGGTCTTCCCAAGAATATACAAAAGACTATATGTAAATATTGTGTACACTTTCTTGTTTCAATACATTTTGTTCTAAGTACATTTTGTGTTGTATTATTATTCCATGCATTAGTCAAGTTTCAACACAGTCTTTCATGGCACAGTACTTCCCCGAGAGATTCTATGTAATATTAATCCCCCTTAATTAGTTAATATTTCCTCACAGATGATTTGGTTTGGGTTTGTTTAACGGCATAGCAACTCCTTATGGGTCATTTAATGTCGAAATTTAATTTCCTAGGGAGCTTTGTTCATTTTTTTTACTATTAAAATCTACTGCTGGAAATTTAAAAAAAAAATGCATTTTTATACTTTCATAGTGTTTTGAACCCAGTTTGCGGGTCAGCTATTTGCCCATAGTTGGGACCCCTAACAGGTGCTACCACTCCGGGTCAGGGTGGACCTGGGAACACCAGCAATTAAAAGATGCTTTCACACCTCGCGATCAGAGGCCTTGCAGCCGGATGTAGTTTATCGTCATACCCAGGACGCAGAAAACTGAGACAACTGAGATGTGACTCTACAGAAAGATGCTGAGAATAACGTAGACCAGACATATGAACAACGAGGAAGTGTTAAGGAAAATCGAATGCAAAAAGAACACTTAGAATCAGAAAGAGGCAGTTGAAATGTCTTTAGAACAACGAGGACAGGAGGCTGGGAGAACTTGCCACTCAGAAGGCACTTACCTAACAAGCTTGTGTAAATAGATGGCAGAACGGGGAGTCAGAGAGAGACATTGTTTATAGATGTGAAGGATAGGAAGTTGTGGAGAGCCACAATCGCCCGCATCCTGGAGAAGCTCGACATATAAAAGAAGAACTAGTTTTGCGAATAAAAATCCAACAAGTATCTGTGTTTAAAGAAAGGTACAAATATGCATTTTTAGAGATACTTATTGAAGTAGCTTAAGTTTGCTAAAAGACAACATTCAGGATGCATCCAGAGCGGGCCTAACTTATTAGAAATGGCTTGCGAGATGAACTCGTCAGACATGGCTCTATATTATGCAATATGACAATTATGTTGATAGCTGTATCGTTTCAACATTTAAATGCTTTTAAAATAACTTCTTTTGTTTTCTTTTTTAGCTGCAAAACTGGCCAATTATACAGTGGTTGGCAAACCGACAACAATCAAGAATTATCCTTCTCTGGTTTACTTGGGCCGTTGTGTGGGTGTCCTAGTGTCCCGAGTTCACATCCTGACTGCAGGACATTGCATGTACGTATAATCACGAATGTGAGCTGAATTCCATATCACAAATAATATGTAAAAAGAAGAAAAAAAAAAAAAAGATCCAGAAATAGTTAAGTAATTTGTTATGTTGTTTTACATTTTCTTGTTTTATGTCCAAGAGCTCTTCAGTATTAAAATAAACACCATTAAATAATTATGATTTGTACATAACGAAAAGAATAAAGATGAGAATAGGTAATTTGTTTATATATATATATATATATATATATATATATATATATATATATATATATATATATATGTATGTATATACACTGCGTGCCAAATTATTATCGAGATACGACTGAAAAGCTCTTGACTGGTAAGTCCAGGGTTCTTCGTGGCTTCTCGTTTAAGTCGTGACATGAGACGACGTGAAATAACCCTCGGCTTGCCTTTATATGCCCTTTTGCGTACATGTGTAGGGTCGGCGGTGAATTTTTCACTGTTTGATGACACTTCCCTATCATTTTAAAAAATTCTCGGGTTGATTTACCTTTTGAGACTTCTGAGGTAATAGTTTTCTTTTCAGCATCCCTTAAACTGCTTTTACGGCCCATCTTTTCACTAAATTCTTATACTTTTCTAATAATTTGGCACGCTCAAATCACCGTGCTGATAACAAATATGGCGCCAGTTTGTTTACATTGCGCAGATCAGTAATTTTAGTGATTGCGCAGCTCAGTGTTGCCAACATTGTGTGAAAAATTTGTGTGAATTGATTGGACGGTTTTTGAAATATTAGAAAAAAGTTATCTCGATAATAATTTGGCACGCAGTGTATATATATACACTACAAGCAAAAAAGTTTTTGGCTACTCTGAAAAAAGTGTCTATGGTTGTAAAAATAGTAAAAATAGCACTGAGATACTTGTTTCGGAGAAGCAAGATATCCTTGTGAGTTAAGATAAATTTTTACCTATATATATATATATATATATATATATATATATATATCGGGTGTAATAGCACAATTGTCCAAATCGTGTAACAGCAAAATTGTCAAATTGTTTGATTAAGCTTTTAACTGTTGTATCTTTGAAATGATTAAAGATATCTTACTGGAATTCTCGAATTTTTTATAACACTATTAGACTCTTCTTTGAACAACAAGAATGTATTTAGCTCTAAGTTGAAATGATTATCCATCTTCCTGTTGTGACCTTCTGATCCAGTTTTCTCTGACGTTCCCTCTTTTTTAAACTAATTCAGCGTTCTCTTGATGGTTCTGGAATGGACTTTGAAGATGGAAACCAGAGTATGAATGCTGATACCATTACTGAAGGCCTGGATGATCTTTTTCCTATCGCCATTGTTCAGTTGGGAAAACAGCGGGTCTGGCACTAAACGATTTTTCTCTCTGTTCTTTTCTAGCTGAATAACTCAAAGGGTTTTTCAGTTATTCTTACGACAAATGGTGTCAAAATCGCTAAACGTCTTATCTGAAACATGGGAAAAAGAAACTCGATTTATTTAGTGTTTTTGTTTAGATATGAAGCATTTTGTGTGATGCACAATTATCACATGCTGTTACACGATATATATATATATTGGAATTTTATATATATTATTTATATATTATATATGCGCGGTTCTTATTGGAAAGTGCTAACACATTTAGTTGTATTTAACGGATGTCAGAATTCGTTGAAAAATAAACCCATACCCTCCCTAAACTTAACCTCTTTTTCGAACGTAACTCATAATTGATACAACAATATGTAATAAAAATGGACACGCTACAGCCCCTGTCTTAATGAGTGCATTCCTCTGTATCCTTGGAAACAGTAAATTATGAATTTATGTGTGTTTAAAAGGGGAAACGCTAAAGTTTTTTGAATTCTCGTATACTTGTATTTTGATTGGTCATTCCAGCTTATGTAACAGCGTTTCCCCTTGCGAGGGGTGGTTAATTGATTTAAACCTTTTAAAACCCTTTATTCTACATTCAACACCATAACTTGATAAGACACCAGAGGTGTTGAAACAAAATGGCTATTTTTTTCGTGATTTTATAACATATTTATGTTATAATTTTCGAATAAATAATTATATATATATATATATAGGAGGATTGCTAAATTCTCAACATGACTAGAGTTTGAAGAGTGTTTTCATGTTTGGTCAGATTGATCTTGATATAATTTATATAGTATTAGGCCATACATACATACATACATACATACATACATACATACATATATATGGCCAACTAGTAATTTTCAAAATGGTTTTATATATTTATTAGTCCGTCGGATTCTCATCCAACCTTACTCTAACTCGAGTATGTCTGTGTTTTTGTGTATGTGTTTGAGTAAGGTTAGGTGAGTATCCGACAGAATGATAAATATATAAAACAATTTTGAAAATTACTTAGTTGGCCATGATTGGCTGATAAACAGCCGCCATTTTGGTTCTTTTTCTGAAGATGGCACTCTATCGGCGGAACATATCAAACTAGAAATTTTCAAAACTGTTGCACACACACAGACACACACACACATACACATATATATTCCACCATGTTTGGTGAGATAATTTAGATGCATTATGTCTATTTATTTTAGCTTTAATCCTTTCAAGTCCACGGATTAACTTCTTGGTGGCTGAAGAAAATTGATTAAGAAACATTTCAAAATTTTCTTACAAGTAATTTCAACCTCTGAGACCATGTTCACAGGTTCCATATCTATGGATGTGTTATGCGTTAACGCCGTAAATTCAAACTATTTTTTCACCGCTATATAAGGGAGGTAACTTATGTGATTTTTTAAAAGTTTTTTTTTAATTGTCGTATTTTAATTTCGTATTTTTATATAACACTTTGTTGCTAAAAACATTTAAGAACTTTGTTGCTATATTCGTAGTTAACTTTATTCATTTTTGGCTGCAATTCTCTTGCATAAAAGTTTTCCAGAATTTTAAGTTTTTACTTATTATTATCTTGATGGAATACTGATGTATTTTCGACTAATATCTGTTTAAATTATGAATGTGGACATGGTTGTTTCGTACATCACATAGTACGACATGGAGGGTACTTCAAGGGCAACTCCTTTGCAATGTGTACATGGGCTTACTCTCTCTGATCACTAACCACGTAAAAAACTTTTGCTGATGGTTTCTTGCACAAGCTGCCGATCTGTTGTTTGTCTCTTCACTCTTGTTCACGGGTGAGACAACATTTGGAAGGGATGGCATAACAAATTTACACAACCAACGTTTGTGGGCGGAACAGAATCTCCATGGTAAAATAACGGATAGACACCAGCATCAGTTTACGATTAATGCGATTAACTTGAATTGTAGGTGACTGTCTGGTAGGTCCATATGTTCACCCAGCAAGTCTACAGGGACATTATTTCGAACACACTTTCAGACCTCCTAGAGGATGTACCGCTGCTTATACGAAGACGTATGTAGTTCATACATGATTTGGCTCCAGTACATTTTATTCGCTTTGTTTGCAATGCACTGGCTAAAATCTACCGTGAATGTATCTGTCTATATTTCTGAGATGTGGTATTATGTACATTATTTACATTAATCGGACTATTGTCCTCATCTTTGTTGCCATATTTATTACAACGTTTCGGACCTTCAGTATCTGTCTATGTTTCTGAGATGAGTCATTATGTACACTATTTACATTATTTGGACTATTGTCCTCATCTTTGTCATCATATTTATTACAACGTTTCGGCCGTTGTACGCTCCGGCCTTCTTCAGGTAGTTGGAATGTCGAACTGAACCCTTTATTTCGCTCACTGGGGTAGACTGTTCTAGCTCCACGTGCCATGTTTAATGGATGTCAGTTATCAGTTATCTCCTGTTAATTCCCCTCTCCAAGTTCTCCACTGCTTTAACCGGGTATTGAACTCACACTCTTTGGGTCCTGTCACTGGATCTAACTGCTTTATCCACTGTGCCATGTGTCCTTGAGGAACTGTATATATAATTCACCACTTCAACAAAGAAAACATCACCTGCAATAAAATCCGATGCCAAGCCTGTCAGCATCATAACTGATAGCATTTTCACACAGCCGGCACTCACACAATATTCAAACCACCAGCACTGACTTGTGACATTTCAAATCTTATATATTTACATTTCTCATAGAAGCAAAAATAAAGTGAATTATTCTGGAGAAACAGGCATGGAATTCTGTCTCCGTTTTAAAAACCATAATAATACATTAAAGACAACAACAATTTTCCTGTCATTGCACACTTCAACCAGTCGATTCATAGCACTGATGATCAGATTCGTGCTTTTAGCGTCTTCATGTAAAAGCCGACAAGAAAGACGCAGAACGGAATTAAAATACATTTTCAAAATGAAATCACATATTAAAGGATTAAACAGGGATTTAGTTTTACTCGGCAAATATAGTTTCCAGAGGGAGCAACAACATTTCTCGGAAAAGTCAAAACCACTTTGTTTATTTTTCGTTTCGTTAAAAAGGGATCAGGCATGTCCGAAAATTCCGACTTTAAAATCTTTCTCTTCATGTTTCAATATAGCCAAAACGCCTACTATTATATTTATTGCATCATATATATATATATATATATATATATATATATATATATATCATCATCAATTTATATATCAGGTCATCTCATAAGTTCTGTCCGAATTTTGAATAAAGAAAACAAGCGACCAAATGTTACATTTAATTACAGATTCAATCAACAATGTATTTTCCCTGATTATCTATGACTTCCTTCCATCTATTAACAAGCTTACTAATTCCATTACTGTAAAATTCTTTTGGCTTTGATTCGAAGAACTCACAAATGTCAGTTTTAACCTCTTCCTGTGTTACAAAAGCTGTTTCTTCCAAATGATTCTGTAAGCTATGAACCAAATGGTAGTCTGAAGGAGCAAGATCGGCAGAATAAGGTGGATGAGGAATTTTCTCCCAACCAAATTCTTCGATCTTTTGTGACGTGAATCTTGCTGTGTGGGGTCGCGCATTGTCTCGATGAAACATCACCTCTTTTCGATTCACTAGAGCAGGTCTTTTTTTCCTCAAAGCTTGGTTCAAACACTCTAATTGCTGACAGTATGTTTGAGCATTAATTGTTGCATTAGGTGGTAAGAATTCAAAGTGGATTATTCCTTGGCGATCCCACCAGATTGAAAGAAGAACCTTTTGCCCATGAAGTTCCCTTCTCGGCTACGACGCTTAACATTTCGATAAAAGATCCATTTTTCGTCGCCAGTCACAAGTCTATCCCAAAAAGGTGAAATAAGTTGGCAAGAATGGAGAGAAGAGCAGGTGTCAACTCGGGATTTGAGGTTGTTTTCAGACAATTCATGAGGCACCCATTTTCCAAGTTTAGGAACTTTTCCAAGTTGTTGAAGATGACGATGAACAGTTGTATGGTTTGAGCTGAGAACCACTGCCAATTCCTCAACTGATAAAGCAGGATTTTCTTCAAGTGCTGCTTCAAGAAGCTTTTCATCAAACTCAACTGGACGTCCGGTTCGATCTTCATCTTCAAGGGTGAAATCTCCACCTCTGAATTTTGCAAACCATCTTCTGCAAGTTCTTTCATTCACACATTCCTCTCCATAAACTGATTGAATGTTTCTAGCCGCTTCGACTGCTGAGTTTCCTTTCTTGAACTCATAAAGCATTATGTGCCTCAAATGATTCTTGGGTACTTCCATGTTAGCAGGGTTTTAATCAAACAAAGTTTAATTTTATTGTTCTTTGAAATAAAATTTGATCAGTTTAAATGCCTCTAAACATAAAAATAATATTTAATACTCTTTAAATTTCGTTCATTTTGACAAAAAGTTAAAATTCGGACAGAACTTATGGGATGACCTGATATATATATATATATATATATATATATATATATATAAGCTGAAATTTATTTGTTTACCATACACGACTAAACCTTTTCAATTTTGATATTATTAGATCTAGAGGAAGTTTTTAACTTTTTTTCTGGTGACGAGTGTGGCAAGAAAAGAAGCGGAATTAAAAACAATACCTATCGTAGCATCAGCAGCGATCTGTCACAATGGGGATAAACTGGGCTGCAATGACACGGCATCGCTGGGTAGAGGGCTTCCTAGACTGAAATTAATCGCCTGGGCGAAGGGTTTTTCCACAATGGAATTAACGGTCATATGTCCGTGACCAAGGCGACCCTTCATGTTGGAGGACATCGGCTGTGGTCTGAGTGGAAGAGAAATGGCCTCCTTTATGCTTAATTAGCCAAGAACGCAACACGTGAGTTAATCTGGCTTTCAACCCGGCTATGTTGAGGTTAACAGTAAGAGGCACAGTTTATGTGGAGAGGTGGGGGAAGATAATGTTTAACCTTAGACTTGAACAGGTTATGATTGTAGTGATCGGAAAAATGTAACAGTTCAGATATAAATAAAAAATGTATCTGTCCCCAACATCCCCAGACACACACACACACACACACACACACACACACACACACACACACACACACACACACACACACACACGCGCGCGCGAATATACATTATAATCCTGCAAATTATGATACACATACGCACATGAATCAAACACACGAACGCTGCTTGGCAAGACTGAGGCACATGAAGTCTGCTTAACCAATGAAAAATAACCAAAAATTTCGTTAAATTTCGCCTTATACACACACACGCACGCACACACACACACACGCTCGCACAGACACACACATACATTTCTCCGATTCCCAATTTCATTACACCATTACACACATCCAAGCTTACAACACCTGGCATTCCGAAGCAGTCAGCCATCTAGGAACTGACCAGGCTCGGCGTTGCTTAACTTCAGTGAACGTACGGGAACCTGTGTTCCAGCGTGATATTATTTTATGTTAAGAAGTAGTTTATACGGATAGAATGGGAAGATAACGATTAACTCCTGACTTGAATAGGTAAAGATTATAGTGATCAGGGAAACATCCTCTTGGGAGTCGGTTCCACAGAACAGTGGTTCGTAGGAAGAAGCCGTTCGAGTGGGACTTACTCCTCACCGATTGGATACGGAGGGAATGTGGGTGATTCGTTACAATGCGCATAGTATAGCGGCTCCTAGCCGTTAAACTGAGGATGCAGTTCGTCTAAGCACTTTTCCATGGAAGCAGCGATAGGGCAGTGACGGGTTTGAGACATTTCGTCTGTGAGAGAGGGGGTTGCAGGGTTGAAAATAATTTGTCACCCACAAGGACGCGGAGATGCTTTTGAACTGCGTCTTTTAATTATTGTAGTTACAGGATGTTTTCTCATATATATCGAAATCTAATGAATTGACTATGTTTTCAGTCATCTTGACAAGGAAATGTTCCCAGCCTACATCGGAAACACGAAGAAATTGTTTGGAAACCAGCAGACGATCGTAAAAGTCTACAGACATCCGAAATTCACAAGAGATAAACACACTGCAAGTAAATACTTTTTTCTTTTTAATAGGAGTAGATAGGTTCACCTATCGTCCAGTTGCAAACTCCTCTGTGGTCTTTTGGACAGGATTAGACTCTTATCCCCTGTTCCCTGTTTAGGATTGGCTTTCCGATTCCATCTAAAATCTACTTCAACTCTATACTTCTAAATTCGCCGCCTAAATCTCTGACCTTTCATTTAGGATTAAATGACCTTTTCTTTTCTCAATTCCAGTAGATAGGTTCATCTATCGTCCGGTTCACCCTCCTCTGTGGTCTTTTGAACAGGAGTAGACACTTATTCCACTGTTCCCTGTTTGGGATTCGCTTTCCGATTCATTCTAAAGTCTACTTCAACTCTATGCTTCTAACGTATCCGCCTAAAACTTTGACCGTTTATTTACTATTGAATGGCCTTTTCTTTTCTCAGTAGGAGTAGATAGGTTCACCTGTCGTCCGGTTCACCCTCCTCTGTGGTTTTTGGACAGGAGCAGACTCTTATCCCCTGTTCCCTGTTTGGGGTTCGCTTTCCGATTCCTTCTAAAATCTACTTCAACTCTATACTTCTAAATTCGCCGATAAAAGTCTGAACTTTTATTTACTATTGAATTACCTTTTCTTTTCTTAATCCTAGAACACTAACAATGGGTATATTGTACCCAGTGCAAATTTTCCTATTTTTAATTACAATTTTCAGTACCTGATTTTCTTACCTAAATAATATGTTTTTCAGTTCCTATTAATGTTAACTCAAAGTACAAAGTTTGAAGTGCCTGCATATAAAATATTTCAAATAAAGATTTATATTTAATATTTTTTTGATATTTTCAAAATCGGGTATGATATACCCATGGTTAGTAGTGGTGTAACTTTTATTGATGATTAGTGTTCTAGCGTTAATATATATATTTTTTCATTAATTAATTTCCCCCTTTTTTTTAAAAACATTTATCAAATTGATGACTAAAGTTAGAGTAACAATAAAACCTCGATTTAAGGTCCCTCGACCTAAGGAATATTTTATATAAAAAACCACTCGTGGCTAACACAGGCAAAACGAACCGATTGTATTTTTATTGAACGAAGTTAGTTACATCTTAGAAATATAATCGTCGAGTCCGTGTTAAGATACTAGGTACATGTCAAACTTGAAGCTGTAGAGGACCATAGGGAATTAGTTGTTGTTGAATTGGGAACACGTGCCTTTAATTTCCTGCTAGAAGAAGGTCCAACTACAAAAACATGTTGGACTCAAGTTGAATCCAACCGTAGATGTAAAGAAAACAAACAAGGCCGAGGGGACAAGGTAATCCGTAAGAAACTGAGAACAAAAACAACAGGATTTTCCCAACCATGTAACAACAAAAGAAGTTTATGTTGCAACCATATTAAAAACACGAATTCATTCACTAGCTCAATCACTAAATCTACTTTCAAAATCTACCACGATTCTAACTGTAGAAGTCAAAACATAATTTACCTCCTAGAATGCACGCTATGCCAGAAACAATATGTAGGAAAATCTGAATTTAACTACTTTAACTACAGAATTAATAATTATCGTAAGCGAATTAAATCGACTCCCTATGAACAGTTATTACCCGTAGAACAACATTTCCGCCTAGAAAACACGATTTCAAAACCCATGCCAGATTCACTATAATTGAGAGAATAGAAAAGTTCAGAGCAGATAACATTAGAAAGATTTTAGAGTCCCATGAAAATAAGTGGATACAACGTCTAAAAAACACAATACCCAGCCGGGCTAAATCATAAATTTAACAACATATAATAGTAACAATCAACAAATCAAACCTACCCACATTTTTTTTCACCCACACAAGACAGACATGCTTAAGGAGGAATGGAGGCCTCACACTTATACACACTCACCCACACGATTATACACACGTACGCACACCATACTCACTCACTCCCTAATGAGCCAAATGATAACACACACCTACAGCAATACACACGCTTACACATATCATACTCACTCACTCCCTAAGAACCAAATAACACACACACAAACACTAAACAGAGACACATCCCCTCACCAGGTCCAATAAAACTGTCAAACTGACCAGAGAATTCAGGATAAAATGTATCCATCCAGTTCTTATCTCAAATAACAATTTAAAAGAGACTGTTTGACCAACACAAGGAATGTTAAAAGATTCATGTGAAAAAGATAAAAAAATAAAAAAACAAATGAAAACTACAGACAAAAGTTCATTTTCTCCAACAAAAGACATTCATTTCTGTAGTTCCTTGCCAACAGCAAGCAGAAATATTTCGCCTCCCGATGATGGCCATTTCGGTCGAAACTAGACGAGGAATCTAAATGGAATAATAATAATAATAAAACGAAAGAATATTAATCTACAACCCAGTGTGTCTAATGATTTTAATTTTTTAATTTTTAATTTTCTTATTGTTCAAAATATATATATATATATATATATATATATATATATATATATATATATATCAACAAATATATGTATTAAACAACAAATTTGCAAATGACAAAGACATTAACATTTGTGTTAGTGTGTGAACGTAAAGAGTTTGTATTTTGGCGAATGTTCGTACGTACGTGTATGTGTGTTTCATGGCGTTTTCCCACAAGTGGGCGAAAACGCGGTTCTCTACGAAAAACCACATTTTTAAATGTGTCCGCTGAAATGCAAAGTGAAAAAGAGAACGAGGCAAGAAGTCGCCCAGTATTTATAATGTAGGGAGAGCGTGCCCTAGTGAACAATTAGGGAATTAAGGGGGAGCTAACTCCGACAAAGCTATAAAGTTAACTGGAAATGAAAACTTTTGCCGATTTCAGCGATTTTTAAAGGCGGTTTTCGCTATAAACAACAAAACCTACTTAGCAACAGTTTGTGCTTGTGTAAGAGATAGATAGATAGATAAATAGATAGATAGATAGATAGAGAGAGAGAGAGAGAGAGAGAGAGAGAGAGAGAGACCAATCTCAGTGTTTCGGGTTGTTTAATGTGTATCCAAGTTCGCTTGTCTATTGTAAACGATTGCCCTCAGTGGCCCTCGGGTGAGTGTACCGAAGAAATCATATTTGGGAGGACGATTGTAGTACGTGTGTGGGTACCGTAATCTTTTGTATATAGCATAAGACGCAGTTAATAAAGACAAAGAAATGCCAGGGAAAGAAGCTTATTTTCACGTATAAAATGCAGCTGATTTTAGAGTAAAGAACATGATCAAAACTTCTGAAAAATGAAAACAAAAAAAAAGGAACATTTTGTGATTCATAATCATTACGAAAACGTGATAATGACTCTTGGGCTATAAGGCCACTAAATCGCCATTAAACAATGAGAAAATAAATCGAAATAAAACTGAATAAATATTAACTTAATAAATATTAACCCAGCATAGACTTCCCTACTTCAACGGAAAATACGAAAAAACTATAAGGAGTATTTTTTTTATCTACTCTGGCTTGGAAATGGCATTTCTTTCTTTCTTTAGGCATCTGTCTATATTTCTGAGATGAGGTATTATGTACACTATTTACATTATTCGGACTATTGTCCTCATCTTTGTCGCCATATTTGTTACAACATTTCGGCCGTTGTACGCTCCGGCTTTCTTCAGGTGGTTGGAATGTCGAACTGAACCCTTTATTTCGCTCACTGGGATAAACTGTTCTAGTTTCATGTGCCATGTTTAATGGATGTCAGTTCTCAGTTATCTCCTGTTAATTTCCCTCTGAAAGTTCTCCACTGCCTTAACCGGGTATTGAACTCACACTCTTTGCGTCATGTCACTGGATCTATTTAACGCCTTTATCCGCTGTACCATGTGTCCTTGAGGGCAGCAATTCTCACGCTTTCAGCTTACGCATGTCTTGCGATTTCAATTCGATCGAATTTTTTTTTTGTTAATTTGAATTTATAATGTAGCCAATGTACTTTAGTTACAATTTCATTTATTTTTCAAGAATGATCAAGGATTGTAAAAGCTTTCCGAAATATATCTGTTTTAATAATAAATTATCCGTTGGAATTACAATTTTTTTTTTTTTTTTTTTAATTAATTTTTTTTATCGTAAATTAAATAATATTTTAGCTTTGAATGATTCTCAAACTTATGTAGGTGTCTAGGCTCAATGAAATCCGGAAAAATGTATGGAACTGAGGGAGACATTATAAAACATTTATTTCCCTTTGATGCAATAACGCCATTAAATTGATATTATCTACCCGGTAAACGAATAAATCCAATTTCACACCGATTTTGTCCTTGCTAAATTCTAAACGAAGGTATAAGACGCAACAGTCATTTGGACACGATTTTGGATGAAAGAACCTGCGTCTTATACACACACATAGGATGATGCTAATCCCTTCAGATAGATAAATTTTGCAATCGTTAGTTTTCAATTACTTTTGAGATTGCATCGTACACGAAACCGATGAATAAATTTTCATATATATATATATATATATATATATATATATATATATATATATATATATATGTGTATGTATTTCATTGAAAACGACAGACAAGGTGCTTTTACTTAGTTTTTTATACAATTTCTCAAGCGATCTAATAATTTTTTTCTTGTCGGATGATAAATTATATAAAACCTGTCAGAATGTTCTTTTTATCCGAGCGCTTTCGGCTATACATTTAGCCATTTACAAGGATTATATTTTAACTGTTAAAATAAGAAATAGTTTGTTGTATGTATGTTTTATAAAATGTTTTCATTTTTCAAAAACACGGTCAAGTTTATTATGTCCATGTTCAAAGTTAATATTATTAAGTTGTTTTTTTTTGTTTTTATTAATAAGGCTTCCATTATTTTTAGCCTTTTTTTGCATGTAGGTGATGCTATTATATTAGTGTTGTCAACAAGTATGTTACGAATAGTGTCAACAAGTATGTTACGAATAATATTATTATATATATTATATATATATATATATATATATATATATATATATATATATATATATTAGAAATTAGAGGTTAGTTGAATCTGCTACCTTGGTTTCAACCTTACGGTATCCTCAGGTAATTTTATCAAATGACCTCTTAATGCTTTTATTTTTTTAAACTAATGAACGCTATAATGTTATTTTCAAAAATAAATGCACGTCGTTGGGTGTAATACAAAGGGAGAGGGGCGTATTAGCGATTATGACATTTCCGGATCCCCAAAACCTTTTAAACCAGAAATTTGAATTCTTAAGTCCTTGCTTACACATTAGAAATTTTCTTTTAAGCACATACGAGGCTGGATGAAAATTAAAAAAAAATTACAGTACATTTCAAATACCGTCTCTTCACCGATACATTTACTATACGCTCGCTTCTTCTTCTTCTTCACACCCCCCTCCCCCCTTTTTATTACACCCAATGTCGTGCATTTGTTTATTTATTTTTGAAAATAACAATCTATCGTTCATTAAATTTTTTTTTTAAATAAAGCGTTAAGAGGTCAATTGATAAAAATCGCCTGAGGGTACAGTAAAGTTGAAACCAATGTAGCAGATTCAACTGACCTTCTAATTTTTAAAGTTTACATGTTATTTTTATTTTTATTTTATTTTTTCACACGTGTATTGAGCACTTTTTAATACTAATGTTTCCTGGTCAACTCTTACCATTAACCTTATATATATATATATATATATATATATATATATATATATATATATATATATATATATATATATATATATATATATATCATTAATATGAGTAAAAGTTTGTCACTGTTACCTTCAGTCTCCTGATTCCAGAGTTTCATAGGCGAAGCTATCCATCCACTCTTCTGTGGGTATCAGTAATTTACTGCTTATATTTTTCCCTTTTATACATTTATCATTGGTGTGAGTTTTTTCTGTAGTTTTGTGTTCGTGTGTGCGTTCGCCAGTCTACGCAGATGTGCATACGTGTAGGGTGTCGTGATCATTTGTCCTTTACGTCTTTTTTTTTCACTTTGTCGCCTAAATTACACAGAAATGAAAATAATACTCACATCTCATTTTAATTGATACATTTACCAAAATTACACAAAAATATCTTGAAATACTAAAGAGTAAAGTTATTCAATAAAATCGACTTCAACAATGGCCTCTAGACAGTTTCAGAATCTCCTGCAACTCTTCTTGTTTACTTGGTGAATACTGTCATAATTCTTGCCTTCAGGTCATCTTTGATACCACCAACAAAATTTGTTGGTCTCTCGCTCAGCTGCGACTCACACATAATAATCAAAGTGGTTGCAGTCGGGGGAGTTATGTGGCCAGGTGTAAGGTGTGATGTGGCCGTAGAAGTTGTCTGACAGCCACGTTTGTGTTCTTCTGCTGGCGTGGCATGGTGCAGAGTCCTGTTGCCAGACATAGGGTCTTCCAGCAGCCAAACTCTTGAGCCAGGGCAGCACTACCTCCTCAAGGCACTTGATATAGGCTTCCGTGTGAGTCTAGGTTCCTCACTAACAAATTCGGGGGTTCTTTTCTTATCGAAACGATCAGAGGGAGTTTTCCACCTGCCGTACCTTCGTAATCACCATTAGACTCATCTAACTCTTTCCGAATCCTTTGCACTCTCCTCAGATTGAAACCCAAACACTCTGAAATATTCGTATTGGAACTTCCTGTGCGAATGCCATGCAGTACAGCATGCCGTTTCCAAATTTCTGGCGGAGCGAATTGCATCATGGTGCTATTTTTCTTACAGACGCTGCCAAACTGACTCTACTATACTTTGCAGTCGACAAAATTAAAAACAAATAGCGCGCATGCGCGAAATTGAAAATATAAAATGGCGACAATTAACCCAATTACCTTGTATATATAAACATCATTACAATGTGCTACGTTTCTAGGTGAACTATTCACCTAGAAACGTAGAACATTGTAACGATGTTTATATATTATTGAAAACAGAGTGTTTATAGATTTAATAGATACTGGTTCTTCCCTCTTTACTTTTTAAAGGCTAATACTTAGATTTCTGGTCATGAACTCAAGATTGCTTATATTATTTAATATTTTATTCATTTACATACTTTGTTTTGAATAATTTTCCCTTTATTTTTCTCTGGTTTTTAGTTTTGGTATTTGGATTAAGGGTGATTAGATTTAGGGTATAGGATTTTATTTAGTCTTTTTGTGGTTGTCTGTAGCGTAGAAGGAATTTGTTTTCATATGTTCGTTTATAAATGAGCTATGACCGTTTACTTAACTTTTAAATGCTTTAATTCTTTGCTTATTATGTATTGCAGATTATGACATGGCATTGTTGAAAATAAAGACACCCGTTAACATGTCTGATTACGTCCAAATTTCAGAAATGGCCAGTTCCACTGATGTGTTCGCCCCAGGAACACTTTGCACGGTAGCAGGATGGGGAAGCTTAAGTACTTTTTTGAAAATTAATTAAAAAAATGTTTTTAATCGTTTGCAACAATGTTAATTTGATAACATCTTTATTATATATATATACAGTGTAATAACGAGATAACAATTTTCTGTTTTGTCCAAAAAATACACGTTGAAATTTAACGAAATTTTCACAAAATGATGGCAATAGTTATATGCGCGTATCTTGTAAAAAAGTGTAAAGTTCTGCAAAAATACACAGGAACTTTACTTAAATTATAACTGTTTCAAACTATTAGTGAGGTGTCATTAAAACTCATGTAAACAAGAAAATAACGCTTTGGATACATACAGTAACCGACATGAAATAAATAGAAATCAACAAGTATACAGAGTTCAAAAATTATAGTGGAGCTGGTTAATATAGAATATCTGATCTTCTTGAAATAATCTGGATAAGGCGCTGATCCATGGAACGTGGCAATTTCTGGATCTCCTCTGATGTAATTCCACGTAATACATTCACTATAGCTTCCCACAAGTCCCCATTGCTTCTAAATTAGCGTCCATTCCCGTAAACTCGTCGCTTCAGAATGCCCCACATGTTTTCAATTGGGTAGAAGTCTGTAGAATTGGCCGGCCAGTTCATTTCCCGATGTCTACAGAAACCTAAGTGTTGCAAGTATTCCGTATTTTTATGCGATGCATAGTAAAAACATTATTTTGCATAAATATGATGGTTCTCTTGAACGTGATGCTTTGTTTTTTAACCAAGGTTCAAAGTGCTTTCTCAGGAAGGCTATATAAGCATCTACAATCATTGTAATACTGTCAAGCACTTTCCACTGACCAACCATGTTACTCCCAATAATACTATCCATAAGCATGACGCCTCCTCCTCCTTGCTTGCGTCTCAAGCGTTGATGACGATGTCGTCTGTTTACGACACAACCTTTGCTTCAATCGTCAGGGCCATCAATGGTAGCACGAGATTCATCCGTGAACAAAACCTTCGAAAAGTCGATCTTCATTTTATCTTCTGCCAATTTCAGGCGCTTCTGTACGTGTCTTTTTTTTTTTATCAATGGCGGCGTTGTCACCGGATCTCAATGATTTCCCGACCTTTTTCAAAAGACGACATCGAGTAATTCTGGACACAGTTGTTTCTCCAATGCGCCTGAGAAGTTCTCCGCTAGTCAGGCCTGGGTCATATACAGCTTCACGTTTAATTCGCGACAGAGAACTTTGGGAAACAACCATCGAATCACCCTTATCGGCTTTCTTACGTGCCTTTGTGAGTGCTGCAACAAACCTTCTCACAGTCTGGTGATATCTTCCAATCATTTTGGATATTTCTAATGTCGATTTACCTTTTGCAAGTTCAGATGTTATAATAGACTTCTCAGAAGCGGTTAAGTCACAATTGCAACCTATAATTGCACGAATATGAAGTCACCCATTAATAATTTCGAACACTGAGGTATCGTGTTACTCTTGGCTGCGGTTTGTTTACACTTGCGCAGAACCTTACAGTTTTTACACAGCACGCGCATATATCTGTTGCCATTATTCTGTGAAAACATCGTTAAATTCCAACGTGTAGTTTTTGGACAAAATGGAAACTTGTCACCTCGATAAGAATTCGTTACACGGTATATATATATATATATATATATATATATATATATATATATATTACAATGAATCATTCATATAAAAAGTAGATTTTAAAGTTAATGATATAAAATAGCGAAATCCTTTCGCAAACAAAATTTTAAAGTTGCATTAACCTACAAATCACTCGATGAATGTTATGATCCTTGTTTTTAATAATTATAAGGTCTGTATAAGGTCATTTTTTAATATGCAAGCACTTTCAACCGTATATTCAGTCATGCTCAGGCTTGGAAATTATTTTGTTTTTAGTAAAATCCAAGTAGCATCCGAGACGAAAAAATAAAATGCGAATCGACATACGTTTTTTTTTTCTTTAAATGTGTTAACGGATACAAACTTTTGGAGCGTGCAGTCGCAACGCTAAGGTTGAATTTTTTTGAAAATTTAAGAGAGTGCATTTTTTACTAATATGGTAATTTGACAATTTTAGAGTTTATCAGTCAGTGTGGCATGAACTAAATTGTTCAATAAATAGAGAAATATCTCAGTTGTTATCCCGAAAATTTGCACTTCGGATCAGTTCTTTTAAATCAAATACGTGGTACAGTTCAATTTGTATTACAATGAATCATTCATACAAAAAGTAGATTAGTAAAGTTAATGATATAAAATGGCGAAATCCTTTCGTAAACAAATATATATATATATATATGTATTAACAAATATATATATATTCATAAATATATATATATTATATATAAAAATTTATATAATAGTATAAAATATATTATATTTTTGTTTGATATATATATCAAACAAAAATATATATATATATATATATATATATATATATATATATATATATAAATAAACCTAAAGAGCCAGACTAATCTACCTAGGTTTCACCTACGCAGATCGTCTGGCTCTTTAGGTTTACTTACTTATTTTGCTCTACTTAGCGTATTGAGCACTTTGTTTAGTTATTTTTACTTTACTCGTGTCGGAGTTTTTTTCTTTGAACTCTGAACTTCTAGATTCTAGATGATTATTTTCGCCGGAAGTACATGTTCTTAGTTCTTTCTTTTTTTAAAACGATTTTTGCTATTCCTTGCCTTTAAAGGAGTGCCCTTTGCCGCGCTGATGTTGCTACATGCCTTACTTCTTGCCTATCTCACACTGCGAATTTTTTCTAAGCTCTATACTAAACATTAAATCTATTACGAAAAAACAAAATGAACACAAAACGATCAGCTTTAAAAAAGGACTCGTCACTGGAAAAACCGAATGAAAAAAGAATGTTAACAACAAATACTTTTTCACACCCAACCCACTTCTGCGGAATCAGAATCAACGCTGAGTTTAAGCAAGCGAATGAGCCAGTTGGAGTAAAGTGCCATGCAGATTTAAATTTTTCCCACTTGTGACGAATGCAGCTATCGATTTTTTTTTCATGCTAGCATGCTAGTTATCATTCGTGTCAATCAGCTGTTGGCTCTCACGCTGGCCAATAGAATCTTCCTGCCTATTTGTGGCAGCCAGCTATGTCTCTCACTCTGGCCAGTACAAAATGGCCGCAAACTACATGAAAACTGCTGTAGAAGCATGAAAAAAATCGATTATTTCCACTATCGATGGGAGTTGGGAAATGCAAAGTCGGTCTTGGCCTTCCCACTAACTTGGAGCATGTGCATGTAAATTTTGGTGCAAATCAATCGAAAATTGCGGCCGTGCATTCATTACACACACACACACACACACACACACACACACACACACACACACACACACACATCTTGCCTTTTATAGATAGAGATAACGTTTATAATAATGAGAAATAAAGTCGGATTAAAAAATCCATTGATTTGTGTCAGATTGTTGACAATATATTAATAGAGATCAATTAAAATTTACACCAGTTAATCGTCCTCAAATAAAGTTTCAGAATAGTATTCTGTTCCTTTATTTTTCCATATGTGTCGGCATCATCTAATAGTAAATTCATTTTTTCATCGTATGAATCTCTATTCATTATGACAAACCCACCTCCCTTGTCCGCAGGTGAAATGTAGATTTCCTTATCTTGTTTTATTTTTGTTTCGAAAATTTAACAAAGCGATTAGGAAACTATTCAAAAATCATGGTTATAGACTAGTAGAATATTAACCTTGGACATCCAACTCCCTAAAACCAACAAAGCAGGCATCCCAATGCACCCCAAACAAATATAGTTCTAAGGTATGCTATATTTATGGATTAAAGTGCTCAATATATGGGATATAGCGTATGTAAATATAAAAGTGGATATTGACACCAATGCCCAACGGCGACAGCTGTTTCATGCTTAAAAGGAATCTTCAAGCCATGTTGTCTTCAAGCCAATCTTATGACCTGAAGATTGAGTTATTTTTTTTTGTTTTTTTTTTACTAAGTACTGTCCAAGGCAGAACTTCTCAACTATTTTTAATTCAGGGTACACTTGTAGAATAACTAAAACTCTGGGGTGCACTTTAAATTTTACTAGGGAAAAATAAGCCATGAGGTCTGAAAATAATAAAGTCTCCTGAAATGAGCATTTATTTTTAAGACATTACATCGTATATTTAAGCGGTGGAGTTTTCATTTAAATGGATTTATGAAGATTCTGCTATTTTTCTTAGGGGGACCGGTAATGACTGATTTAAATCCATCGAGGTTGGCAAAAGGGAAAGGATTATCCACTCTTTCTTAGATATGGAAACCAATGTGCTTGGTGTCTCTAGCTTTTTTAAAAAATAATTTTTTTTTTTAGATATGAAAATAATTGATAAATCAGAAAGGGACAACTCAAGACAGCCGACTCAACACCAACGACTGACCGTTACCGACTGAGCCCCGGGACAATTCAGAACCGAGACAACTCATCACCTGAAAAACAACTTTTTTTTTTTTATAAACGAATAAAAGTAATTTATTAAGGATTAAATCCTTAATTAGTGAATATTTTTCTTCAAATAAGGCATTTGAAAAGTCATGTGAAATATGAACCAGTTTTTTGGGTTTTAATTATCATAGTTGTCACTATTTACATTATTCGGACTATTGTCCTCATCTTTGTTGCCATATTTATAACAACGTTTTGGCAGCTCTACGCTCCGGCTTTCTTCATGTGGTTGGAATGTTGAACTGAACCCTTTATTTCGCTCGCTGGGGTAGACTGTTCTAGTTCCACGTGCCATGTCTAATGGATGTCAGTTATCAGTTATCTCCTGTTAATTCCCCTCTCCAAGTTCTCCACTGTCTTAACCAGGTATTGAATCCACACTCTTTGGGTCCTGTCACTGGATCTAACTGGATCTAACTGGATCTAACTGACACCTTTATCCACTGTGCCATGTGTCCTTGTTTGACATTCCCAACCACCTGAAGAAAGTCAGAGCGTACAAAGACCGAAACGTTGTGATAAATATGGCAACAAAGATGAGGACAATAGTCCGAATAATGTAGATAGTGTACATAACTCCTCATCTCAGAAATATAGACAGACACAGTCCTGAGTTGTCCCCGCGCTCAGTCAGTGGTGTTCAGTCGGCGGTGTTGAGTTGTCCTACACCCTTATTAAATTACTATTCTATTAACTTGGGGTACGCCTGGCGCTTGATCGCACTGGTTGAGAAATACTGGTTTAACCCTTTGAGCCCTGACATTTTGAGAAAATGACGTAAAGTACAGCCACCAGTTGAACAGTGGTAGAGAAAACTGACTTAATGCCCAGCTACAGGTTGAAAGGTGGGTAAACACTTGTAACAATTTCTATATCTACCGTGAAACATTACATGTAAATTATTTGCGAATTTTGACTCAGGAGCTCAGGCAGAAGAGTTCAAATTGTTCAGGAACGCAGGTCTCAAAGGGTTAATTATCATAGTTGACTCGGTCCTGAGTTGTCCCGGCGCTCAGTCATTGGTGTCCTGTCGGCGGTGTTGAGTTGTCCTACTCCCTTATTAAATTACTATTCTATTAAGTTGGGTATACCTGGCTTACCTTTCGGAGCACATTAGTGCACCTGGGCGCTTCTGTTAAGAAATACTGGTTGAAGGTTAGGGAAAGAAAGAACTTTTCAAGTCACTCGATACTGAAGCGAAATATACAGTGTTTAATGACGAAGTTTTATTTTCGTGCCAGGTCGATCGAAGTTGATGATGACGTCTCACCTTCACAATGCCATCATGAAGATCGCCGAGCCAAGCGAATGCGTGTTCAGTCGTTTCAATTTTGATGTCGAGTCAGAGATGTGTGTGAAATCCATTCCTGGCGTCAATCAAGCTGCAGCACCGGTAAGAAAAAAAAAGTGTTTCTTATTAATTCGTAACTTTACACCGTTAGCCTGACCAAATGGTACTCCGCCCGAGGTTACTTAATGTCGTTATGGAAATGGTACAACTCTCGAGTTATGACCCAGTTGCTTAACATCTTTAATAAACGTTTCGTCACCACTGAGTCGAATACAAGAGACAGCAACTCGGCAGTGGGAAATCGGAGAGCCGAGTTCAAATTCCAGTCGAGTTTGTTACATCCATTTACGCGCAAATACAATTCAGAAAGATATGAATCCATCATTTCTCCCACAGCTATGGGTTAAATACTAACAACTTAGTACTTGGAAATATCACCATCTCCAAAAGATTGCAAACACAATATACACTTGTACGAAAGGAATTCCTCTTACAATCCAAAATATTTTTCGGCTTTAAATAACCCACAAGACGTAAAAAAAAACAAGTTAGTTGTCACTGACAGCTCAGTGAGGTTAAAATTATTTCAACGCAGTAATATAAACTGTAATTGACTTTACATCAACCAACTATTATTCTGAATATTACGATAATGATTGTATCAAAAATATAAAAATCACGATACTTATCGAAGATCGACTCTGAGCTTCGTAAAATATAGAAGTGGACAGTATTAAGCACTTTCATCAGTAAATATAGCATACCTTAAAGCTATATTTTTATTATATATATATATATATATATATATATATATATGTGTGTGTGTGTGTGTGTGTGTGTGTGTGTGTGTTTGTGTGTGTGTATGTAAATATTTGAGACAGAGTATATCTGTAAAAAGGACAATATTAACAAAGACAAAAAGGAAAATTTGTCTTAACCGACGCGTTTCATCTTCTGAGGGACTTTATCAAGGAAAATTTGCCTTGATAAAAGCCCTCAGATGACGGAAAGCGCCGACTAACATAAGTTTTTCTTCTGTCTTTATATATATATCTACATAGAGAGAGAGGGGTGGGGGAGAGATAGGAAGAGAGAGATAGGTAGATAAATAGATAGATAGATTGCATTGTTCATGAAACTCAGAGTTTTGCTACCGGTGACGAAAAAGGTATATTTATTATTATATTATTTATGTTATACAAAAATAGCCATTTTGTTTCAACACTTCTAGTGTCTTGTCAAGTGATGGTGTTGCAAGTAAAATAAAGTTTTAAAGAGTTCAAAACCAACCACTACCCCCACTGGGGGTTATATTTTTATGTAAGATGTAATGGCCAATCAAATTACAACTATATGATAATTTAAATAATGAAGCAATGGGCTCTAGATACAATTTATTAATGCTTTAAAATAAATATTAGATTTTATAGGAAATGAGGATAACTAATTAATCTCCGATTTACTATATATAATTAAAAAAATAAAAGTTACGCATATTAAACTCTGAATACAACCATGCGTCAAGTTTAGAAACTTACAAAATTATTCAAAGAAAAAAATATACTTAAATTTTCACGTATTGTTCTTAGAAATAAGTTAAATTTTTCGTCCGAATCTGAGCGTAAGTAAGAGGAGTAAAATGTGGCTACAGAATTAGTTACATTGACAGGGTTGTCATTAGAGACTAGGGAGAAAGGTTTAACATCACGTCATAATAGACAAACATAAATATGATTGAATATATGAGAACGCAAATATACGCACGACAGATGGTATTTATCAATTCACCCACAGGAATTGAATGTGGCACAAGGCCTTTTTAATGTGGGTATGTCCGAGCCCGTAGGCCCAGCCAAAAATAAAACCCATCTAAACCCGTCCAAGCGGGCTAGTTCCGTCAACCTCCCCGAACGAAACCCCACCCTTCGGCGGAGCTTCGTCCGGGTACCCCTCTGCAAGCAGAGAGTTCGACAGACACCCGGCTCGGCAGCTCACAAAGCACAGATACTACACTTTGATCCTAGCCACCGGGCCGAGCGGGTATTCTTTTTATCAAGATTCAATCATCCACATAACTAATGAGACAACGCAACTACAAGTCAAATTGGTACAAACATGGAAGATCAATATGGAAATACCTAAAACTACGCATATATATATATATATATATATATATATATATATATATATATATATATATATATATATATATAGTAATGATACAATATAGTAATCCGTATGGGATTTCCAGGTGGATATAGATCCAGGGAGAGCTCTATGTCAGAAGACAGAGCAAAATTATTATTAATGAATATCAAATACTTGAGATACCATACATAATGAAAATTATTATCTATGATATTTTAAGTGTTTTATATTCTTTAATTAATTAATTAATATATATATATATATATATATATATATATATATATATATATATATATATATATATATATAAAGACATACCTACATACAGATATATATATATATATAAATATACACATACGTATATAAATATATAATTAAACATACATATAAAAAGACACACACACACACATATATATATATATATATATATATATATATATATATATATATATATATATATAAAATGAATAAATTCTTTCTATCAATTACGAAATTTGAAATAGAAAGTGGTGATAGGAGTATCAATGAATGCAACATATATTATGCACATCAATGCATGCACAAGCATATATAAATAATATACATATACACAAGATCACAACAATAAAAATATTAATAAAGAAAAATATATATAAATAAACGAATATGAACACCCATATACAAACAGATGTAATTGGACATGAATAAAAAAAACAAGCACACATAAAGACAGACATAAAAACAAGAATTTATAAAAGTACGCCCATGTAGAACAGGAGTGGAAACAAATATACTCATGTACAAACAAACATCCTTCTCAAAATAGCCATATTAAATTCAGAGGCTCTGTAAGATTAATTCAATAAGAGTTACAACTATTCAATAAACTAAATAATCCTCTTTATATTAATTTCTTGGCAATTAAAGGTAGATAATAATTAAAAATTTAAGAACAAAAATTTTTTTCAGAGACTTACAATATCATTTCATCAGCAAGTTAATAAGTAATTTATGCCTGCAGTTAACAGTGAGGTCCTTCCTTTGATTTGATAGATTTATCTTGTCCTTAAATTTAATAATTTCTAGCTTTTCATTGAGACATATAAAGAATTACAAGTACGAGCTCTTCAATTAACTTCCATTTAACAGTGGGAGTTTTGTTTTTCTTCTTTAAACTTCAATAGTACTTGCACAGAGAACTATTTTCGAAGGAAAAACATGCCGGTAACAACGGCTTTTTAGTACTACCAATGTAAAACTTTTTAATATTCGGGTTTTCAAGCGAAGAAATGGTACTAAGATAAACCAGGGAACTAGTTTGGCAATTGTTTTGTAATGGGCAATCTTTGGGATTCTTACAGTCACATCCATTAGTATTGGTGTTATGATATTTAGTATTATTTAACGTATCACTACATTTTGTCATACCCTTTGAGATTTTATATCTGTTAAATACCTTATTATTATGCTTTTTAATTATTTTTTTCGAAGTTATCTGCAGAGCTGCAACTAAATTTAGGAGTATTTTTGTTGAAGATTTTACTATGCCTGTTCGTTTTAGGGAATTTGTCTAAGATTTAAGAATTTTAGTCCTAACTTTGTTTTAACCACGAGATTATAAGGGGAGTGAACCAGATGATCTTCTTGGATCTTCGCTTCTTATTATGGTCAGTATTAATGGGATTTACGTATTTAATGTTGGTACCTTTATAACCACTACTACTGAGGGCAGAGTTATAAAATTCCCGATGCCTTTTGAAAACCCTTTCATTAGAAGAGTTCGCACTGATTCTAAATCCAATGGAAGAAGGTATCTGCTTAATGACTGACGTTGGGTGATTAGAATTGGGATATACACATACGGGGTTAGAGTTTGTCTTCACATACGGTTGATAAGAACTATTCATAAGGTCAAGGGTGACATCAAGAAAATCTACTTGTTTTTATATTGGTTGTTAACTTCGTTTTAAGGCCTAAATCTTTTAGCATCTATTTTTTTTATATATATATATATATATATATATATATATATATATATATTTGTATTTAGGCAGCAATCCTTCATTTATACATGTTTCATTAAAGACGACAGACAAGGTACTGCGATTGAGCATTTTATTTAATTTTTCTTGTGTTCAAACAAGTGTTTTCTTTTCAGGACACGGCGTTCAGAAAAAGAAATAACTAAAAACGAAAACAATTAGAACAGTTTTGCTGATCGACTCTTTCAAATTGATTATTCCGTTTTGGTCCATTTCAGGGAGATTCGGGTGCGCCCCTTTGGTGTCCGCGGTCGTGTGACCATAAACTAGTCATCGCTGGAGTGGACAGTCGAGGTATTTTGCCGGATCTTCATAAATCTTTGGATATATTCACCAAGGTCTCATATCACAGAAACTGGATCAATCACTTCATGGAAACTGACCAGTAAAGCCTCCTTGCCTGGGGTTCACTTCAGAGAAGCAACAACAAAATACTTTGACGCGTGTTGTATGTAAATTAGGAAATTCATGGCAAATAATTAAAATCGCGAAATTATTATTTTTTTTTTATAATATAAATATTTTTTTTCATTTAATAAATTAATGGTAACCGTTAATGCGAAACATAGGATTAATGATTGTAAGCGATCTTTTCTATGGAAGGATGTAAATGAAAAAAAACTCTCTGTAGCGGTTCAGCAGAGAAAGAGAACCCGGTTCTGTCTTGTCTGTCTGGATCGAACTCGCGTCCTTCGGAATGCAGAAAACACGGTTTAAACGTGATGTGGGACACGTGGTTTGATTCAGGCGCCAAAAAGCTGTCTAGTAGGCACTGAGGTAGATAAGTAGACAGGCCAATAGACAGTCGGCGGGGGAGGGGGAGGTATCTAGCAGGGCAGATTGCAGTGTTAAAAGCCTATTCTCTGCGTCAATCCCCACAAGAGAGAAAATACCGGTTACCAACCAGAATACACTCTCATTTCCTCTTCAATGCACAAACGTCTTCGTCATTGTTTCGAATTTAATGTTAATTAAGAGAAAAAAAATTCCATAAGTATAAAATTAAAAAAAAAAATGAAACAAAATGCAGACATCCCTCGATTAATGCACTTTCGATTAGTGCGCTAAAATTTCTATATACTAAAATTCGATTAGTGTATGCATAATACCTGATTAGTGTGGTAAAACATTCTTCAGTTTAACCATAGTAATTGAAAATTGATTTTTTTATAGTTGCACATTAACCGCACCAATCGAAGGATTCTTGTATTTACACTATTTATATTCGGACTGTTATCCTCATCTTTCTTGTTGTTATCACAACGTTTCGACCATTGTGCGTCCCGGCCTTCGTCAGCTGCATATCCCTCCAGGTATCTTACAGGCAATTCTGAAATGAACCCTTTATTATTTACACTATTTATATTTGGACTAATATCCTCATCTTTGTTGTTGTTATCACAACATTTCAGCCGTTCTATCTTCCAGCCTTCCTCAGGTGTATATCGATCTTGGGTAACCTACTGGGAATTCTGAACAGAACACTTTATTTAATCTACGGGAGTAGACTATTCTGATCCCACTGCTCGTGTCTAATTTTTATTTTTATTTATTATTGTTCAGTTGTTGTCCTGTAGGACAATGGTCTAAATGGGTAAAATCGTTGGTTTGTGAAATTAGTGACATAGTAGTTGTTAGTTCAATCCCTGGCTCGAGCAGTGTGTACTTGCACTCAGTGGAAACGGGTGAGAAACAACGGAACAGTACCAATTAAAAAGGAGACGATATTCCTAGACATGCGCAGTGGAACGAGAACAGTCTAATTCAGTAGATTAAATAAAGGGTTCAGTTAGGAATTTCCTGTAAGTTATCCAGATCGATATACACTTGAGGAAGGCCGGAGAGCACAACAGCCAAAACGTTGTGATAACAACAGCAAAGATGAGGACAAGGACTCCAGAAGTAAATAATGATAACTCATCATCGGAGAAATTCAGACATAAGTTATCGAATTGGAACAAAATAGTTAAAAAAGAAAAAAAAAAAGAAAAAGCCACCTAATGGTGCTTAAAATTTTCAAGATGAAAAAAAAAAAACAAAAAAAAAAACAAAACAAAACAATGGCAATAAATGAGTCAGGATAAACATGGATTATCTCCCTTTTCATCTCCATATTTGAACACGATTCGCTGCTGTCAACGTCATTTAAGTTATCGGTCATCACACGTCTGAAAAATCTCACTTGCTAAAATAGTGAATAAAAATAAAATCAAAGAAACTGTTTTCGTTTTAAATATTATCATTATTATCTTAAATTTGAATGCATTTTTAACCGGGGCGCAGAGCTACAAACTTTACAGCGGAAATGTTTGCATTATTTGTTCTTTTAGAAATATGTAATATCAAGTCCTTATCATTAATCATCATCATCATGGATGCTTCCAGAAAAATCTATGGCCTAAATCTCATCAAGTCTGGGGTCGATCTTTATCTAGCCTATATATCCTCGTAATACTACCAATTTTCCGTCCTGGGTATGACGATAAACTACATCCGCGTCCTGGGTAAGACGATAAACTACATCCACGTCCTGGGTAAGACGATAAAATACCATCCACGTCCTGGGTAAGACGATAAACTAACATCCGCGTCCTGGGTAAGGCAATAAACAATGTCCAACAGCAAGGCCTCTGATCTGGAGGTTTTGAGGAGCAAGGAACCACCTCTTAATTGCTGGTGTTCCAAGGTCCACTCTGACCCGGGGTGGTTGCACCTATTAGGGTCCCAGCTATGGGTAAATAGTTAACCCCCAAACTGGGGTCAAAACATTATGAAAGTGTAAAAATAAGTTTTAATACCAGAAATGCTTTGTAAAAAATCATTACCAGCAATACATTATTACCTCTAAACCTCTACTCCTGTCCAAAGAACTGGAGAGGAGTGTGAACCGGTCAATAAACGAACCTATCTACTCCTGTTGAACTTAATAAAGGAAATGTGATCCTCGACAATGAACGAACCTGGTCCCTCTTTGTAGGGGAAACCACCGTTTGATCCGGAGTACTTTACCTCTCGGCGACAGAGAACTCCACTTTAATAACGTTTGAAGCAATAAAATACACCAGGTGCAATAGCAAAATTGTGCAAATTGTGTAAGAGCATAATTTTTTATCCCGCAAAAATGTTTAATATCTAAAAAAAAACAAAAAAAAAAACAAAAAAAAACGCTAAACTAATTGAGTTTCTTTTTCCATGTATTCAGATAAGGGGTTTAGCCATCTTGACACCATTTGTCGTAAGATTCACTGAAAAACCCCTTTGAGTTATTCAGCTAGAAATACAACAGGTTCGAATCGTTTTGTGTCGGACCCACTATGTTTTACTAACTGAGCAATGGTGAAAGGAAAAAGATCATTCAGGCCTTCAGTAATGGTATCAACATTCATACTTTGGCCTCTATCTTCAAAGTCCATTCAAGAACCATCAAGAGAATGGTGAATAAGTTTAAAAACGAGGGAACGGTAGAGAGGAAAATTGGATCAGGAGGTCACAACAGAAAGAGGGATCATCATTTCAATTTAGAGCTAAAGAGATCAATTAGAAAAGATCAAACTCAATCCATAAGATGTTTGGCACGTGAGAGAGGAGTTCCAGCTATGAAAGTTCAAAGAGCTGTGAAAACAGGACTTGAAAATGAAATCGTACGTGAAAACTGTGAGGCAACTTGTTACTCCAGGGCAGAAAGATTAGAGAGGGTGAAGATCATCTTGAATAAGTTGGAAAATGATCCTCGAATAATATATATATATATATATATATATATATATATATATATATATATATAACTTTATTTCAATCCTTCATGGGCTTTCAATCCTTAGTTATGATTAATTAATGAGGAACATATCATTTACGTTTATGATCGATTTTATCACAATTCTTCCGTTACATTCTTATTGCTCAAAATAGAGTTCAATAGTGTTATAAAAACCTCGGAGAATTTCAGTGTGATATCTTTTATCATTTCTAAGATACAATGGTTCAGATCTTAATCTAACAATTGGACAATTTTGTGGTTAGGCGATTTGGACACTTTTGGTGTTACACCCGATATATAACTATTTGCGTAGACGCTTCGTTTATTTATTAAACAGTATATTTTTTTTTCATCTACCGGCCTGAATATTCCAGAAATCTTATTAAAGAAAAACATGCGATCTCTGGTAGGATTCGAACTTGAATCTTCTTTGGCAGGAGAAACCGTATGCGATGTTCATTCGGCCGTCTCGGCAATGGAGTTCGTCGACGATCAAGCAAAGTGGAATGATGCCTTATAAACCAGACTCTCGAAACATTCATATCTGCTTAGTTTCGTAATCGAAAGTAAACAAAGCAATTTATAAAGAAGTGATGGATTTTTATTTATTATTCGGACAGATTATATTACTTAAATGTCAGTTTTGGTAGATGTTTGAATAAACGCCCCGTTTATTTATTTATTAAACAGTATATTTTATTTATTTTCGTCTACCGACCTGAATATTCAAGAATGTTTAATAAAGAAAAGTATGCGCTCTCTAATGAGAAAATAAATAAATACACTATTTAATAAATGATAAACACAGACACAGACGCGCACACACACACACACACACACACACATGGCGTCTAATTCAAATAAGAAGTATCCAATATAGCAACGTTTGATGAAATAAAAACAAAATATCCGATTAAAAAATAAATCCATTAATTCTTTACAAATTGCTTTGTTTACGTTACTGGTGCGAAACTGAGCATATATATGCTCTCGAGAAAAATACCCTGAGTGAAGAGGATGTGCTTTTCTTAAATGAGGTAAAAGCAGCCAGTCTTACTGTGGAGACATTCATGGGCGAGCGGTAAAACATGCCGGATCAGACGGTAGTTTCCCCTACAAAGGGGGACACAGGTCCGATTCCTGTCGGAGGACACTTTTTTTTTATTTAGATTTGAATGCACAGGCAGATAGACATGATACACAGTTTAATCAATATATATATATAAATACCGTAAATACCGCCGCAATTTGAGTTATTCAGCTAGATAGAGAACAGGTTAAAATCGTTTCGTGTCAGACCCACTGTCTTCTCAACTGAACAATGGGGTAGAGGAAACAATCATTCAGGCGTTCAGTAATGATACTAACATTTATATTCTGGTTTCCATCTTCAACGTCCATTCAAGAACCATCAAGAGATTGGTGAATAAGTTTAAAAAAGAGGGAGCAGTAGAGACGAAAACTGGATCAGGAGGTCACAACAGCAAGAGGGATCATCATTTCAAATTGGAGCTAAAGAGATCAATTAGAAAAGATCCAACTCAAGCCATAAAACTTTTGGCACGTGAGCAGTCAAAAAAGACTTGAAAATAAAATCGTATGAGAAACCTGTGAGGCAACCTGTTACTCCAG